TTGAATGCAGCCAGTGGCGGGCAGGAGAAATACACTGGTGAGGATTCTTTCCTCTGTGCCATCGAGTCCATGCCCTGTAGGGCAGGGTACACCTGTCCCTGTGAGTTTCAGAGACTGTACTGCTTTACTGGAGTAGGAAGCCATGTCTTTCTCTCTCGGGGCAGCTGGTGGTTTTGAACAGCTGACCTCGCAGTTAGCAGCCTAAATCATAACCACAATGCCACCAGGGCTGTTGTGGGGGGACAAGGGCCCCAAACACTCAAATGGGTCTTCAGGAACAACTTTGTGATTGTAGAAAATAAAACAGACAGACAGACAGACAGTGGGGCACAGGGGCTCCTATGTCAGGATAGTGACATGGATTTTCCAATGGGTACATAGCTCATAATTGCAGGTCTGAAAAACTGACTCCGCTGCGGGAAGATCCTCACAACTATGAGCTATCAATAAATCTTAATACTCATGACTGAACACAGTCCCTCCAATAACCCCCACAAGGAGCTATCATTTAAGGTGGATCATTCCTGCGTCTGGCTAGTGTCTGTACCTGGAGGGTATCTGAAGAAAAGAGCAATCAGGTTCTGTAGGGCCTGTCCACTGTAAAATATAGCAACCCCCTGAGGAGGTCAATCAGCACTCGGTCATGATGCCGAGTCACCTCCCTGCTGGTTATTATGCTGCCTGCTTATGGTATTACCCATTGACTGTGTACTATGTTTGTTGTATGACGCATATGCCTTCTGAAAGATCCGTAAGCCCCATTACATACACCCATTGGAAAATACATTCACTCTCTCAGTCCTGACATAGGGAGGAGGATCCTCTGTGCCCCTCTGTCTGTCTGTCTTATTTTGCACAATCGCAAAGTCGCTACTGAGGACCTGTTCAAGCATTGGGGAACCCCCTTACCCCAACAGGCTCCTCCTGTAAAGATTCCCAAAACAAACCCTAGTCACTGCCATGGAATTGATGACGACTCATAGCAACTCTATAGGAAAGGGTAGGGCTGCCCCTGGGGGTTTCTGAGACCACAACTCTGTATGAGTAAAGCCCTTTGTCTTTCTCCTTCCGAGTGGCTAGTGGTTTCGAACTGCTGACTTTGCGGTTAGCAGCCCAGTGGTAACCACGGTGCCACCAGGGCCTACCTAATACTGTGGGGGCAGTTCTACTCTGTCAAACTGGGTTATTCTGAGTCTGAACCAGCTCAACGCAACAAAAATGCCAAAGTCAGGAGACCCACAGGACTGAGTGCCCTGCTAGGAACGAGGGGTTGGTCGTTCATGTCCACCTGCAGAGCCATTGGAAGAGAGGGCTGGAGATCCACTTCCAGGTCACAGCCTGGCGGTCCCTTTGGAGTGCCCTTTACTCGGACACCCAGGGGTAGCCATGAGTCAGAACCGACACTGTCGCCATTGTTTTTGTTTGTTCGGCACATTAGTGTCTGATAATCCCAGGCAAAGGTAAGCAGCGAGTGCTCTGGCCTGCCGGATAAAAATGGCATTTAAACAAACGCGAGAGGGTCAAGGAAGGCGTTCTGGAAGATACTGTGGACACAATGTCATAGTGCTGGTCGGCGGGGAGGAGAAGGAGCTCATGTACCAGAAGGCTTGATATTAGAGAGGGAAGTTGTGCCCCGTGGAGGGCGGGAGGGTCATGAGACCGCCGAGGTGAGGACGGCCATACAGAGTGCGAGCCCCAGGAAGGCTGAGACTCCGGGAGGTTACGTGATACACCTGCTTCTTAAAGAGAGCGCTCTTCCATATGTGGGCAATTGGACATCCCCTTACAGAAGGGTCATGGGGAAGAGATGAGCCAGTCAGGGTGCACGGTAGCAACGATGAAACATACAACTTTCCTCTAGTTCCTAAATGCTTCCTCCCCACCCACTATCGTGATCCCAATTCTACCTTACAAATCTGGCTGGACCACAGGATGTACACTGGTA